AAACTGAGGACTGATGGGGTGGGAGGGAGGGGAAGGGGGAGATGGGCATGGAGGAAGGCACCTGTGGGGATGAGCACTGGGTGTTATATGGAAACCAACTTGACAATAAACTATTAAAAAAAAAAGAAAAAATATCACTTGAGAAGGAAAAACTCTTCCATGGATGATTCACTACAGATCCCAAAATACTGGGGCGCCTGGGTGGCTTAGTCGGTTAAGCGTCCGACTTTCGCTTAGGTCATGATCTCGCGGTTCGTGGGTTCGAGCCCCGTGTTGGGCTCTGTGCTGACTGCCAGCTCAGACCCTGGAGCCTGTTACAGAGTCTGTGTCTCCCTCTCTCTCTGACCCTCCCCTGCTCACGCTCTCTCTCTCTCTCTCTCTCTCTCTCTCTCCCTCTCTCCTAGAAATAAATAAAAAAAAAAAATACTGTGGATTTTCTTATTACTGCATTGTCTGCAAGAAGTCTTTTTGCCTCAACTATTGACTTTGGAAAATATTTCCAACGTTTTCTTTTCTTTTCTTTTTTTTTTTTTTTATTTCCAACATTTTCTAAGCCACTTACCTGTCTTCATTCAAGTAGAGTGCCGTAGACTCCTGTGATTTATTTCTTTTTCCAAAAGTAGGGCATGGAAGGGAAATGATTACCACTGGTTAAGATTCAGCTGGTCTTTGGATTCAAGGGAATGGCAGGTTTGCTTGTTTCTGTCTCAGGCCTTTGTTCTAGTTGTCTGTCAAATTCTTCCTCCAGGTCTCAGCATGAAATGAATGTCACCTCCTCAGAGGAGCTTCCCTGTCCCTTGGTGTCCCACAGCACCTCCTGGCATTCATTCTTTCTCTTGTTACCCTGGTTCATTTTCTTCAGGCTCTGATCTCTAACTGAAATCATCTCGGTTGTGTATGTCCTTGTGAGAAGTTGGCTCTGACTTCTCCTGCTGGGCCAGCAGGCATAGATGCTGTGTCCCCAGTGGCCACACAAGGCTTGGCACAGGAGAGATGGAAGCAGAATCTGGGTAGATCCCATTAGACTAGTTACTAGGGGATCATGTCTTCTTCTTTTTGGAATCTCACGCGCCTGGGATTTTTTTTTCTTTTTTCTTTTTTAGAGCTCTTAACACTTTATGATTACATACTGGTGGAGTTATTTCCTTAAGGCCTATCTCTCTCACTAGGGCAAGGACTCAAGACCATTTTGTGCTAAAGTTTGCTCTGGTGTCTGGTGAAGCCTTTGGGTCCCTTCTAAGAAGAACATAAAATGCATAGGGGCACCTGGGTGGCTCAGTCGGTAAGCGTCTGACTTCGGCTCAGGTCATGATCTCATGGTTTGTGGGTTTGAGCCCCGTGTTGGGCTCTGTGCTGACAGCTAGCTCAGAGCCTGGAGCCTGCTTCAGTTTCTGTGTCTCCCTGTCTCTCTGACCCTCCCCTGCTCACGCTCTCTCTCTCTCTCTCAGAAATAAATAAAACATTAAAAATTTTTTTTAAAATAAATGCATTAAGTAAATACTTAGGATTATGAAGGAAACCAATTACGTTGAAGTAGAATCAACAAAATGTTAAAATGTATATTTGTGATATAGTTGCATGTGCTTCTTCATTCACACATTTAATAATAAAACCTATCATAATTTTCTAAGTCGTGATGAGCATAATTGTTTTTTGGGGGTGTCTGCAAAAACTGGAATGTGAGGCGTGCCTGGGCAGCCCATTCAAGTGTCAGATTTTAGATTTTGGCTCAGGTCAATATCTCACGGGTTCATGAGTTTGAGCCCTGGCATTTGACTCTGTGCTGACAGTACAGAGCCTGCTTGGAATTCTCTCTCTCCCTCTCTCCCTGCCCTGCATTCACTTATGCACTCACTTGTGTGCTCTCTCTCTTAAAATAAATAAATAAATTTTAAAAACTGTACAGATTTAAAAAACTGTAATGTGAAATAGAAATGTCTTTGATTGGCGTTGGTGACAGACACAGATACTTTCAATCCTGCTGTGGCTTGCTGCCTACATTCATGATGGAATCAAACACTAAATTGCAGTTAGAGATTACTGAAAATAAAGATGTAATTTTTCCTATCCGAGTCCACTGACCCCTCAAAGTCTGTCTACGGATTGTAGAGCCATTCATGGACCCCGGGTTAAAAATTCCTGTGTTAGAATATATCACCAAATTTGGTTCACCCTAGCATCTAAGACATAGTAAGTACTCTTTACATATTCATGGATGGATGGATGGATAGAAGGAAGGGAGGGAGGGAGGGAGTGAGGAAGGAAGGAAGGGAGGGGCAATCTTTGTATCTTACACTGTTCTCAGATCAAGATTGCTGAATGACTGAATGAATGAATGAATGAATCCTGCAGGCAAGGCAGTGAGCTCGTCATTAACAAATGAGAGTACCCTCTCTCTCCACCATTTCCAGCCCACATTAAAACCCCTTGAGCATCTCACCCATAGCTGACACATAAACGTGTACTTGGCTCGAATGATGAAATGTCTCTTTGGCTGAAAGACAACCCCCACACTTTCATTTATCAGGCGCAATGGATCAGTGCTTTGAGACTGCTATCAGACCGATCTGCTGACTCCTTGGGCTGTCGTGGACTCCCAAGATCACCGCTTTGTGGGTCACTGCCTTTTATCATGACAGCACCTCCCAGTTCCAACTAGCTCCATCATCACCTGCCCTACGTGAGTTGTTTTGGACAGACTCCTTTTCCTGCTCGTGGGAAGAGAAGGCCCATAGGACAGCAGGCTCACAGGAATTTGGCTCTACCATCTGACGGATTATTTCAGGCTCTCATGAATATCAACTGGAAGGATCAGCGCTCTGTGAATTTTTATGCCTCATGGTGCCTTGCAAGTCAGCAGTTACTGACAGGACTTGCATGAAAACTCAGGGCCAATAGAGACAAAATTGAATTCATTATTCAGTGCCTCAGAAAAATTCCTAATCTATCAGCAGTGCAGATGCCTAAATACGCATCTCTTGGTAGCAGACACTTCTTAAACATTTTGGAATGCTTTCTAAGACACTTAAGGATAAATGAATATTCATGCGAGTGCTATAAAAATGAAAGATCTATTTCTTAATAGGGGAAAGATAAATCGCTTGGGGAAATAAACAGCAATTTTGTGGCTGTAAAAACTAGACCTTCTGCATGGACCTGCATTATTGTAATTGCATGATGGACTCCATCTTTCTGTGTTATCAAGCAGATCAGGTAGTAAACAGGGTCCATTGTTCCCCGCCCACCTTTCCCTCAAGTTGATTGACTTGCTTAACATGATACTAAGTGGTGGATAATTACACATTCCTTGGATCACAATGCCCTACAACTAATAGTTTGGGGCTAGAGATGCTTGTCCAACTATATAATCATCTAATTATCTTTCCTCTCTTGAGGTCTGAGGGGTCTGTGCTTTACTCAGATAAGATAGTCACAGTAATGGAATATGGATTAAGCAATAGAAGAAAATGATGTCTCCTCTTCTTGAATTCTGTAACATTCCTGGCCTATTCTGCAACTGTGCATTCAGGATTTTCCCATTGCCTCTTCCCCCCATGTGGCTTCAATGGCTTCCTGTTCAATGATTTCTCTAAATCTGTGGGCTTTTTGTTTTTTTGTTTTTTATCTTGATTGCCCATTAAAATCTGGGGAGTGATTTTTTTTTTTTTTAAACCACACATGTCTGGGATGTCTGGGTGGCTCAGTTGGTTAAGCGTCATCAGCTCAGGTCATGATCTCACTGTTCGTGGCTTCGAGCCCTGCATCAGGCTCTATGCTGACAGCCAGCTCAGAGCCTGGAGCCTGCTTCAGATTCTGTGTCTCCTTCTCTCTCTGACCCTGCCATGCTCACGCTGTCTCTCTCTCTTTCTCTCTCTCTCTCTCTCTCTCTCTCAGAAATAAATGAAACATTTAAAAAAAGCAACACACACACTTGTCTGGACCTCACTCCAGGAGTTTATAAAAGCTACCCAGGTGATTTCGTTGAGCAGCCAGGATTCAGAACCACTGCTCTAAATCCCCAATAACTACCCTGGATGACTTCTGTTCAGATCCGCATAGATGGTTCTCAGCCCATTCTTCTTGTTCAAAAGAGATTAGCAGCTGTTCAAACCAGATGAGCACCACATAGCTTTTCTGATGTGATCAGAAAAGATTAAACTTTTGGGAGAGACAGTGAGCCTAAATCTCCCATAATTGAGGCTAGAAAGCCATACTCATGAACTAAATTCTTTCTAAGAAATTTTAAAATTCTAGCCTTCAGCAATGGTGAGGATATTTTGTAATTTATTGGATTGTAGCCTAATTGCTTAATGACAGATTGCAAGACCTATGTCGTATTCCCAAAAGATTTCAGCAATTTGGTCTCCACCCGCCCCTCCCTAGCTCTGTCTTGAGTTGGCTGCACTCCACTCCGTAATTTCCACCACACAGGGCAGCAACCTGTTCCCTGAAGAAGTCCTGAATGTTTCCACCCCATGCCCTGGCTCACATTTCTCCTCCTACGTGCATTCCCTTTCTCTTCCTTTCCACCACTTTGAAACCTTACTCACCCTTAAAGATCCAACTCAAGTACTACCCATGAAGGCCTTTCTCCCTCCAACGTCCAAAGCAGTATCGTTTGCCATTGTGTTTTTATATCATTTTGTATTTCTGTTTTAATCTTGCAAATTCTTATGTAGTCCTTTCTAATAATTAGTTCAGAAGATTTTGCAGATAGAGCAAACCTTATAACATCCTCATTTTAACTCTCATTAGGGCAGTGTTGTGACTTTCCTAAGATTATAGTGTATGTGTCTGTTTCCCCCACCTGAGTGCAGTCAACTCAGTAGTTAAGGCCCAGCTCCTTTCCTAGAATAACTGTTTGTGGAATTAAAAAAAAAAAAATTACCCAGGAATGCTCTACCACAGTCTAAGGTTCAGCGTGGCTATTCAAAGGATATCTGTCTGCATCCAGTCCATTTGTTCAGGATGGCTCATGAATGACTTAAGTCTTGGTAAAAAGATTGAGATATCTAAGCCAGTGGTTTTCAGTGAGGCAGGCCACTCAGCTAGGCTTCGGAGATGTGGTTATCACGAAGACTAGAGGTGTTGCTGGCATTCAGTGGGCACAAACCAGGAAGGCCAGATGCTTTGCACTGCGTAGGAAAGTCCCTACAAAGAGATCTCCCTTTCAAAATATGAATTGTTTCCCACCTCCCACACCCATTTTGGCAGGTTCTAATCAATCTACATCCCCAAATACTTAAACAGAAAACAAAAAAAAAAAAAATTGGCTTGGAGAAAAGAGAGAAGCCCCCGAAACTTACTCTGAAATCATGTGCAAAATGTCCTGGGCATGTTATCAGATAGGCAAAGACAGCAAAACTGGATGATACGTGGCTGGTGAAACAGGAATTCTCACATTATGTAGGTGAAAACGTTGCATGATGTAACCTTTTTGAGGACAACAATACTTAATAATATTTAAAATGCATATTCCTTTTAACCTAGCAATTTCACTGCCAGAAATTCATCCTGTGATGTATATGTACACAAAGACTCAACGTTGCATGACCAGGAATGGTCGTTACAAGATTGGTTGCCATCACAAAAAAGTGAGAACAATTTATTTGTCCATCGATTAGAGTAAGTTAGATAAACGCTGCTACATTCCGATGATGGTGTATAACTATGGAATGAGTGCCACATTGTGTTGAAAGACTGACGTATGGCATGCATGATATGATCCATTTTTCTTTAGAGTGTGTAAATGTACACACGTACATACATATATACACCCAGGCAATCCTGTCTTTGGATGGTTCTGATACGAACAAATTTCAGTTGCCATGGGTTAGTTCAATAACACCAGTTCCACAACATACTTCCAATTTCAGTTACCACAGTACATTACCTGTGAGTCACTGGACAAGGTACAAACTTCGCTGGTCCCTCTTCAGCCCACAAATCACTACATGAATAATAGATGTACATCATCTTCAGTGAACATCCTCTAAGACTTCTCCGATGTCTGTTAATCATTGCTGCACATTTGTTATTCAGTTCACAAACCCACGGCAAAGCAATTTATAGACCCATGTGACGTTTACAGAAGTGAATGATCAGGAGAGGGCATTTGGTGCAGCAAGGACTAGAGATAACACTGGAAGACAAATTCACATCTCAGGAAATGGAAGTGTACGAGAAATGGCTGACCACAGAAATGTTGACATTGCCACCATCGGAGAGACTCCGGATAGACGCACGGGAACTTGGCCAAGTCTCCTACTGACATGCAGAAGCAACAGAAGAGGTTGTAGGAAGAAAGATGAAGGTGTCTTTGAGGGCAGTGACACCAGCAAAACATTTCACGTTAAAGGAATTCTCGGAATTATTTCATGATGGTGAGGTCACAAAGGATAACTGTTGGCAGTGGGATCCATATTTGTGAAGGACTATGAGAGTTTAACCGGGTACAGAGAAGACACTTTCTCAATATCTCAAGTTCTATGACAAAAACAAGGCAAACGTTCTTGCCAAATGTGTTTCCAGTGTCTCTAAATAAATAGTAGTTTCACTACCTTTTTTCTTCTACATTTATAATCAACAGTAAGATAATTTTTAATGTTTTGACAAAAAACTTTAAGGATAATGAAACAGCCGTAAATTTCCCCATTATTATTAACATCCCTTTGCATGGTTTCAGTGTGCACACTTTTATGGTCCAATCCTACCGTGCAAAGCAAAGACTGCCTGTATATATAAAATACAAATACAGAGACACCTGGGTGGTTCAGTTGGTTAAGCGCCGACTCTTGATTTTGGCTCAGGTCATAATCTCATGGTTTCATGAATTCGAGTCCCACATTAGGCTCCACGCTGACAGTGCAGTGACTACTTGAGATTCTCTCTCTCACTCTCTCTCTGCTTTTCTCCCACTCCCACTGTCTTTGTCTCTCTCAAAAATAAATGAATAAACTAAAAAAACCCCCAAATATATCCACATATATATATATATATTTTTAAAGGAATGTATATACAGAGAATTATTAATAGTTATTACTTCTTAACTTTTTTAAATGTTTTTTTATTTCTGAGAGAGAGAGAGAGCGGCAGCATGAGCAGGGGAGGGTCAGAGAGAGAGGGAGACACAGAATCCCTCCAGGCTTTGGGCTGTCACCACAGAGCCCAACGTAGCGCTCGAACCCACAGACCATGAGATCATGACCTGAGCCAAAGTTGGTCGCTTAACCCACTGAGCCACCCAGGCGCCCCAATAAGTTATTACTTCTGAGGAGTGCGGCTGAGGGAGAGTGGTAGCTAAGGGAAATTTTACTTCCATTTTCTCCCCTTCTAAGTTGTTTGACTACTCTTCCTTTAGAATGCATTGCTTTTTGATATAAAATCTAACTGATAAAAAGAAATAGAAAGACAAAGATAATTTAATAAAACATTAAAAATGTTTGTGTATGTGATTTTTACTTTTGTTTTTATTCCTCCCGTCTAGGGAGATCATCCAAAGCTTTCATTTGGAATTTCAAAAGAATTCACGACACCAAAAAGGTTAAAATCCATTCCTATAGGCACATTTACCCTGGTCCCAACCAGCAAGATTGCAAAATATGCAGTTTCTTCAGACATGAATGTGATGTGACTTATTGATTTCATTTGTCTATGAGGAGAATTAGCCCGCAAACGAGTCCAGCTAAGGCTGGACTCAAGTGCAATTTGCAAACAGATGCCCTAAACAAAATGCTTCTGCCGTGGCTGGTGACTGAACATGCATCTGTTTAGAAGGCAGCAAAGTGTGACCTTGGGCACAACCTTGAAAGTTTACTGGCTGGCAAACAAAATGCCAGCTACATGGCAAGGGGTGTTTGGAGAAATAATGTTGAGGCTACAGGTGTACTTACCTGCCAGAACCTAGATACTCAGAGAATGAAGAGTCTAACTGGGATTAGGCTGATGACTTGATCCCTGATGCAGGGTGAACACCCAGGACTTGGTTTGAGGGAGTCCTTGGGGTGGAAAGATCCTGACAGATCCCTAAATCCGCTTAAACACTAGATTTCCATCTTCGGTCACATTCCCTGAGGCCTCTTGGATAGATGGGGAGGGCCATCAGAAGATGTAAGCTTATTCTAATCAACAAGCTGTTAGAGGTCTAGGGAGTGAGCAGGCATGACCAGGCAATCCTGCAGCCCACAGGACACAAGCCATCCATCAGCATGTGACATGCATTATCTCAGGTAACCATTAAAACCAGCCTGATTGTTTTTATCACCTCAGTATCCCTCATGAAGAAACTGAGGTTCAACTGAGTTCAGGGAGATTAAAGAACTTTAAATAACATTGCCACATAGGGGCAGGCGGTAGACTGGGAGTGGAAGTTTAATTCCTGATGCCATGCACATCCCCATTGGGCTAGATGTTTCAGAAGTACTTGGAAACACTCCTGGGCTGTACTGTTTTGTTGCATCTTCCTTTTATCGGAAATCTTACTAATCCCAGATTATCTAATCTAAAATCTGCCCAGCCCTGCTCTACTGTTCTGAACCCTACTGGCTTGGTGCCCATTATTGTGGGCATTCAAGCCTTTGACCCAGGTTTTCACCCTGTTGTATCTCAGTGGCTGGGGATCATCTTTGCTTTTGCCAACTTCACGTTCCACCCCGTTCAGAGGAAACGTACATGAGCCTTTGCATTCCCCCTTGAAGGATGGTATGGTTCTGGCTTTCACTGGCTTGTCAGAGACTTGCGTGCCTACAAATAAGAAGCATCTGACCACAGGTCTATACATGAAAATGATGGCAAGTTGGGCAGGGTGGAATTCTATCATCTGGAAATATTGAGCCCTATTTGGAAGATCAGAACTTCATTTAGCAAAATCCAAATTTTCAGTTGGATTAAACCTTATAGGGTCTCAGTTGAGATCTCCATATAGGGTCTCAATTAATCATTTGAAAAATGAAACTGTATTCTTTTGGGGGTATTTACGTAGTGATTAAAATGAGCAGTCGAAGACATTCCCTGCCTGCTAGAAGACTTGGGAACATGCTCATTTAAGGTCATGCTGGGACCGGGTGGCAACATCCAGGATGCTACCCATGTCCCTTCCTAAATAAGAGAGTCATATCTGGGCACTTTACAGATCTTTGCTTGTCAGAGCATTGAAGGGTTTGACAATTTATCAAGTATTCACAAACAGGGTGATTCTTTAGGGGCAGAAATTGGAACTTGCATCGCCTTTGAGGTAATACACACCTGGATAATAACCAGAACATAAAGTGTGCAGGCTCAAAAGGCAAGTCCCAGTCTGATAGAAATTCCTCCATTGATTAGAAAAGGGATTGAGAATGAGACCATGATATTGGGAGAGATCAAGGAGTCCAACAGACAGGATTACATTCCCCATGGCCCTGTAGTCACACTAATGGTGTGATTCAGTGAGCCGGAACCATGCAAGGGCATAGACCTGCGAGGGCATAGCCATGTGAGAACTCATTCAGTCCTCACAAGAGCCCTGATTTGGGGTTGGGGTGTTAAATGTGTCCTGAAGGCCTCTGAGTGAGTGAGTGTCAAATTAAAGAACTCTAGCCCATATCGGACTCTAAATAGCACACTCAACATCGTGATATCTTGCCTTTAATAATGCTAATGAAGCATCATCCATTTAATGTGTTGTGTTAGGATAGCGCTAGATGCTGAAACTGATAAACCCTAAATTTTGCCAAAACAGATTTTTATTTCTTACTCATGTTAAGTCTGTTTGCCAACAAGGGGCCGGCAAAGGAGGCTGTGCAGTCATTCAGGGATCCGAGCTGACATAGGCTGTGACTGTCATCTTTGACACTGGCTTGCAAGGTCACTGTGGGCACCAACATTCAGAGGCAAATGGGGAGAGAGAGGGAGGGGGAGATCATGTGATGGATTGTTATGGGCCAGGCCTGGAAGTGGCACATCCATTTTTGTCTATCATTTACTGGTTAAGTTCAGTCATATGGCTGCATTTACCTACAAGAGAGTCTGCTGGGAATAAAAACTCATCGTAGACCCCAAAGGAAAGGAAAAAGGATTTGGTGAACAGCCAGTCAGTATCTGCTATGCTTGTGCTTTCCATAGTTACCAGAATTTAAGTATAGTAAATACATGTTGTCATCTACCAAGCGTCAAATACCATGCCAGGTTCTGAGGATTTAACAATGAGGAAGACTGAATCCTCATCCGCAAGTCTAGTGGGGGAACAGACAGAAGCGCACCCCCACAGTGATAAGAATGGTCCTCTTCTGTAGACAGCTGTTCTAGGCTCTTGGGTTCCGTTTGGATATGTGGGAATACTCTCTAGTTCAGAATGATTGATTGAGTTCCTTTTTTAAAAAAAAATTTTAATGTTTTATTTATTTTTGAGAGAGAGAGAGAGAAAGACTGAGCAGGGGAGGGTCAGAGAGAGAGGGAGACACAGAATCTGAAGCAGGCTCCAGGCTCTGAGCTGTCAGCACAGAGCCCAACGTGGGGCTCAAACCCACAAACCATGAGATCATGACCTGAGCCGTAGTCGGACGCTTAACCGACTGAGCCACCCAGACGCCCCGATTGAGCTCCTTTTGAGTTCCTAGAAGTGTCTGCTGCAGGATCTGAACTTAGATGCCAGTCTAGGGCAGGTTTTTCCCTCTTAAAAAACGTTGATTAAAGGAACCCATCTGTAGGCTCCCCAGGACAACACAAAAGCCACATTGTGCGCTGTCCACAATTCCCTTTCACAGCAGGAGAAGCATTCCACCTTGCCAGGCCTGAAGGAGTGTTTCTTGGAAGAGAGCCACCTAACCTTTAGGCCAGCCACTAGGCTGTGTGGGTCGTAGGATGAACAAGCTATTCCCAGAAAGTCACTGAGGACAGGGATGCTGTTTAGAGACTTAGGCAATTTTGTGACAGGATTTGACAGCCTTCTTTCTCAATACCCATATTAAGATTTGGGGGCCATGTCTTAAAATTTTTTTTGGTAAATGTTTAAAGTGCATTTGGTATTAGGCCAACTTATTTCATCTACCCTAGTTAGGACCATAATGAGCCAAGATATTAAATGGCATTTTTTGAAACAGAAAACAATTTTAAAAATTATTTCCTTAGCTTCCTATGGCTTTGAGACTGTACATCAAAAGCTAATAGGTGAGAAGGACTGTAGATAAGAAAGCAAAAATTGCAGCATGAAACTGTGATTGACGGTGTTTTAATCCAATTGCCTACCAGTGACTTCACTGGCAACATGAGCTGTGGGCTTTTATTCTCTTCTGCTTCAGAAAAGCTTAGGTAGTTCACAAAAGAGCACATAGCACCGTAAACCAGG